CAAAATGGCGCTACAGGGTGATGCGGAGGAGATGAATTGTTGAATAAAGTCGTTATTTTTTTTCCTTTTGCGTACAAAAAGTATTCTCGCAGCTTCGTATAATTACGGTTGAACCCCTGATGTCACATGGATTATTTTACAGATCTCCTTGCTACGTCTCTGGACTTGGGAACATTTCAGTTGCGTTGCTGTCTATGCAGGGTCAGACAGCTCTCAGATTCCATCAAAAATATCTTAATTTGTGTTCCGAAGATGAACGAAGGTCTTACGGGTTTGAAACGACATGAGGGTGAGTAATTAATGACAGAATTTTCATTTTGGGTGAACTAACCCTTTAAACATGAGACATCACCTCCCAGTTTTCATCAAATCTGACAGATATAAAGTGAGCCGTACTTCCTGATGTTGAGGTAACCGGCTTTCTGGATGAGGGCGCGATTCACGGGGACCTGATCGTGATCCGGCATGTAGACGCTGTCATCCACGGACAGAAGCTCTCTCTGAGACGAACGCATGACCTCTGCTTCCACCTCTAGCTGAGACTCAATACTGAACCACAGACAGAGACACACAGAGTCAATCACAGCCAATCAATGATCAATCAAAGAAATCAGTCTGCTCCTTTACCTCTGATTCATGCTAGAAACTGAGCTTAGAAAACTGTCCATCTTCTTCGACACCAGCTCCATCCCCTTCTTAAAGACATTTATCTGTGAGCAAACAGGATAAAAGATTATTCAGCTATATTGACCATAATGCACACAAATAACACTTACATTAAAGCAAAAAGTCATGAGAGGTCATGCATTAGTCATTTTACCACACATAAGTGCTGTTGTTAGGCATGCTGCAAAGAAACACACACAACCTTGAATGTCTTATTGCTTTTAAATTAAAAAGCAGCTGTAACAATATAACAAGACTTAACTGAAGAAAAATAAATACCTGAATTCATATTTATATAACTATTATTCTAAAAGATACCAAGCAAATAAAATAGCTTTTTTTAAATTATTGTTTTAATATAAAATAAAAAATATGATAATAATTTTATTTCTAAAAAATAATTTGAATCATCTTTTTATTTGTCTACTTAATTTAATACGACATAAAACACACCAATGTTCAAGAAATAACAACGAATATTAAAATAAATAGAAATATTAATATAAAAAACAAGCGCACAAAATATTGTATTTGAAAATATGTTTTAAGAGTAATATGAATAATATAATAATGTTATTATTCAAAATAAAATAATGTATTTTTAAATTTTATATTTTGAAATATCTGATTGTTTTAATATTTATAAAAAAATATTCATATTAACCTAAAAGCAAATAAAATAGCATTTTTGAAAAGTGAAATTTTAATAAGCAATATAAATAATATACTAATTGTTGTTATTAAAAATACAATCTTTTTTACATTTGTCTACTTAAAAGTTAATATGATGAACAACTAACTGAACTTTAAATATCAATATTAATCTTAAAAAACAAGCAAACAAAATAGTGTTCTTGAAAGTGTAGTGTAAAATAAATAATATATAATAAATAATATTAGTGTAATATAAATAGTATATTATTATTAAAACAAAATTCTTTTTACATTTTTTTAAAATATAATATGTTCCAAAAATAACTGAATATTAAAATAAATATAAAAAAACAACAATAATAATCAGTAATAATAATAATCCAAAAACACGACAAATACAATTATATTTTTGAAATTATTATAATTTTTTAAAAAATGTATTATTAGAAATACAATTTATTTTTACATTTGTCTACTTTAAATTAAATAAGATAAAAAAGCACTAATATTAAATTAATAAGTGGATTAATATCCAGTTAATATGAATAATATGAATATTAAAATTTATATAAATAATACTATTACCAATATTACTAAATGCCAAGCAAATAGTATTTTTGAAATTATTATTTCAATATCTTTAAATATTTTTTTATTAATTTGTCTACTTGGAACTCACATGGCTGTTAAAAATTGTACAAAATATTTTTTTTTCATATGTATCATGACGTTTTTGAGAATATTAACTATTTCTTCATACAGCCCACCGCTAGACTACATGCATTAACTGATGTGTGGTCCCAAGTGTGCATACAGTATATTATTTGCTATTCACAAAAGCTTTCAAATGTAGCTGATCCGTGAAAGAGTGAAGCAGTGATTGCCGGCTAGTTGAGGTTGTTTTGATCAGGTGACAGACCTGAGCGTGTGTGTATCCCAGCATGGGCTCCAGCATGGCCACTCTCTTCCTGTACTGCAGCGCGTTCAGAGCGCAATAATACTGCATAGCGGCCTGATGCTGCTTCCTGCGGCAATACGCCACCTCTCTCACCACCTCAGCTTTTATCTGTCCACACACACACACACATTCAACTGCTCAATGCTGGATTCTGATTGATGGGTTTCATATAACATATCAGCAGACACATCTTATCAATATTTACCTTTTCATTTTCTCTCTTTTTAGGTAAACGACTATATTTCACCATGGCAGCTTCATGCTCTGAAGAGACAAAGAGAGACAGAAAGAGGTAAAAGTGGGTTTCATTTAGCATAGAAATATTTTTCTTTCATCCATTATTAATAAAGAGATATTCTTAACCTCATACCATCACTGGCGATGCCGAATATCTCCTTCAATGTGCTGATCTCTGAAAACAAACATCACAGCGCTTTAAAATCTCCTTCACATTATATTGAGATCTGATTACCTGACACTCAGAATTCACTTCAAGGGATCATATAATTAAAAACAGGATTTTCACTTTTGACAAACATAAAAAATACATGTAAAAAGCCTTAAAAGAGTAAAAAAAAAAAACAGATACAAGAGTCTTAAAGGTAGAGTAACACAAGCATTTAAACAGAGTTTGTGAAAAATGCTCATGAAATTATAAACACTGATTGAGATTAAGAGTGATTTAAGGAATATAAAAAATAACTCAATTCAAATTTATATAAATATTAAGATTAATCGAAAAGATACCAAGAAAATAAAACGGTATTATTCTCTTAATAAGTGATATAAATAATATAACAATTTTATTATTAAAAAATATTTTTTATTTGTCTACTTAGAATTTAATGATCAAAGACATCAATGTCTTTAAATTAAATTAATTATAGCTTAATAAATTAATTATATATATTACTAAATTAATATTATTATAACAACTATCAATATAAATATAACTCTAAAAAACAAACAGACAAAATATATGTATTATAATATAAATATGATAATTTTTGTATTAAAAAGTAATTTATTTTTAACTTCGTCTGCTTGAAATTTAATATGACGTTTAAGATATAATTGAACTAATTTTAACAAAGATTAATATTATTCTATATACACAAGTGAATTAAATAGTATTTTTTTTATTATTAATTTTTACACTTTTGAAAATCCGTAAAAAAAATAAAAAACACAAAATATGTATGCAAACAGTCTGAAAAAGAATAAAATAAAAAATGGATGTAAGAATCTTGAAGGTACAGTAACACAAACATTTAAACATCAGAGAGATGGTGAAAATGTTAAAACGTTAAAAAAACATACATTCTATAAATGAATGAATAATGAAATAAAACAGAATGAAAGCAGATGATCTTTAAGGTGAGTGTTGTACCTGTAAGGTCCTTCTCTCTGAATTGCACCATGGGAAACACCATCTTGTCTGCAATCTGAGTGGCCAGTTCAGAATGCAGAGAGTTCAGCTAGAGAGATAACAGTAATATTTTAATAGTTACGTTATTTAAATATTTATAAAATATTAGTGTGCTGCATGTGGACAATATAAGAAAATGCAGATGTCACACTGTAAGTTGTTGCTGCTTTGATCTAGATGATGTTCAAAATTCTGCATTGTGTAAAGGGGTCATATGATGCGATTTCAAATTTTCCTTTCTCTTTGGAGTGTTACAAGCTGTTCGTGCATAGATAAGATCCCTGAAGTTGCAAAGACTAAAGTCTCGAACCCAAAGAGATATTCTTTATAAAAGTTAAGACTCGTCCACGCTCCCCTAAAATGCCTCGTTTAAACACGCCCCCACATGTCTACGCTTAAGGCAAGTGATGAAGGTCATGTGATCAGGTGATCACGCCATCATAGCAAATATCAAACAACCTGCAAGAGAGAACACCTGCCACACGAGTGATGGCCTCACTCTGACCGAGAGACCCTGCGGTCACACACACACACACTGCAGGCATCTTCTCACCTCTTCCACGCTTTTGGCGAAGTGCTGTAAAGTGTTGATCACCTCTTCTTCGCCTTTCGCCAGAGCAAAATTCTGCACCCACAAACCATCAGGTCAGATTGATCAGTAACACATCAGATATTCAGACATTCCCACAACTCATCATGACTGCTAATGCACCGCTGCCGTTAAAAGAGGAAGTCAAAATTGCTTACCTGTTTCTCATAGTCCAAGAGCTGCTTAGAAAGCTGTTCTGTCGCCAGAGCCATTTCATTCTGCAGACACAAAGAACATTCATTTAGTCAGATGAAGAATCGCAGCTTGTATAAGGTCTTATGCTAACACAAATAGCAAAATCAGAATGCATAGGTTGTGGGAGCTTTGTGAGAAAACAAGCTTCTTAAAGGGGCTAATTTGATTGATTTTATTATATAAACTTATTAAAAATGTAATTACAAATTGCATTTTATTTAAAATTGTAAATTAAATTGAAAAAAAAAAGTATATTTAAATTTATATATATATATATATATATATATATACACACACACACATATATTCACCAAACAAGAAATGATTATATGAAAACTGAATACATAAATGCCAAAAATAAAGTTATGAATCTAAAAATACAGATATACATCTATCAAATGTATGAATATATAATCAAGGTTTATAACTATTCATATTTATAACTTAAACATTTACATATTTAGGATTTAAAACTAAATATTCAGATTTACATCTATATATTCATGGTTCACATTTACATATTCAGAGTTACATCTATATATTCAGAATTAAAACTATACTGTATATCTGGATTTACATTTATATTTTCAGACTAATAATTACATATTAAGAATATCGTACATTCAGATTTTTTTTAAAGTTTAAATTCAGATTTACATCTATATATTATTCAGGATTTAAATTTAAATATTGAGACCTATAACTTTATACATTCATATTTACATTTATATATTCAGTTTAATAATTAAATTCACATTTATAAATAAATATTCAAATTGATACTTACATATTTAGAATTATAACTTTATATTCAGGTCATAAAAACATATATTAAGTTTTTTTAATATAATTATTTCCTGTCTGGCCGTTTATAATATATAATTAAATTTAAAGACAACAAAACACTCAAATTATTAATTTTACATTCATAATGTTCCATATTTCCAAGTATATGGATGTAGGGCGGGACTTTATCCTTTGGAATTTGATTGGACCGTAAATGTTATGCTATGATACTATTGGTTATTATTATTTTCCGCACCCCTGTGGCCCTGGTGACATCATCAGAAAAGAAAATTTGTTTCACATGTGAAGAAAGTTTGCTAAAAGACCATAAAAACAAACTTTTACGACTAGAAATCAGTGGTTAAGTTGTATTTACAACACTGTTCCAGAACAGTTCAACCCAAATATTCAGATGTGTGCAGCGCATTTTATGGAGGACTGTTTCCTGATCCTGGGAGAGTAGACTACAATGCCGGCTGTTCTGACTCACAGACTGTAAGTACGTTTTTTATATTTAAAGGATTTGCCACTGACGATTCAAACACGAGTTTTGAGCAGTGTAGAGTAGCACTTGTTGTTTGTCATTTCTCTGATCACAAATGCAGACATGATTTTATGTTTACGCGGC